CCCCCCCCACCCCCACCCCACCGCCCCCCGGCCGGCCGCAGCAGACCAGCCCCACGAGCCCGGTGACACACAGCGCCGGGCCCTGCTGCCAGGTCCCTGAAAGGCATCTGTGGACTTCACTGGTTGTCGTAACGGGTTTCAAGAGACACCCATTTTAAAACAGGTTTCAAGAGTTGTTCACGTTTGGTTTTCAGGTGGCCTCAAAGATGCGTCGGGACGTAGTTAAAATCCCATCTCTGAGTAGGGTATCATCAAAAAGAGAGCTGTTCAAAAAAGTCACAAAAGCAGGAACCTGAGCTTCCCTCATATCTGTTTCTTCGTGGCCGTGCTTTTTCCCATTAACCGTTTAAAAGTCTGAATCAGCAGCAAATATAGCCGTACGTACGTGCGCGTGTGCGTGTGCGTGTGTGTGTACACATTTTGGCTGACTTAAGGGAAATAAAGGTCATTTTGTCTCCTACAAACATTTGCTGCAGGCCCTTCAAGAATGTTCACTTCCCTGCAGGCGGGACAATGTAAGTGTGGACGTTGAAACGCAATTCTGACGGGTGCTCCCTGGCCGGCCCGCGTACGGAACGTCCTTGCATCGAGTAGCCCTTAATCAAGGGAGGGTCGACCACACCATTTTGCCGTTGGTCCTTCTGCGCATCATAACGCGGCCAAGTCGCATCCTTGGCACCCACATCCGAGCGGGTCTCTTTCATATTAGCTATAAATTAATCCCGAGGTCTCGGAGCTCTACTTTTCCAGAGTTAGGAACATTGCTCAACTCCCTTCAGAAATATCTTGCAAACTGGCTGGTCCCTAAGCTGAAACAAACAAAAACGTCGAAGGCAAGAAAGAATACGTAAACTGAGAGCTCCACCTGTTACACGCATACACACGCGTTTCCTCTCCAGGTTCTACACAATAAAAGGAGTCACGTCAGCTAATATAGCTTCTAATATCGGCTTCATCTAAAAACTGCCTTTTCCGGGTTTCTTGCCAACATCATACGACACAGCAGTACTTTTTCCACCAGGACTTGGAGAGGTTTTTCATTTTGTCAGGAGTCCTGCTTTTGCGCTTCTTTGGCTGTTGCTGAGTGTCTGAGTACTGAATGCCGGCGACAATGGCCGCGTCAAAGACCTCTTTGAGGTTTTTCTGAGTCAAGGCCGAACACTCGACGTAGGAGGCGGCTTTGATCTCCTCGGCGCACAGCTTAGCTGCCTCTTCAGGGCACCGGCTTCTCTTTGCATTTGTCCAGCTCAATGAGGACTTTGACGTCTTCTCTGAGATCCGACTGAGTTCCAACGAGGACGATGGGGGCTTTGGGACAGTGGCGTCGGATCTCGGGCACCCACTTCTCACTGACGTTCTGGAAGGATGAGGGGCTCACCACACTGAAGCACAGAAGAAAGATGTCCATGTTGGTGTAGCAGAGGGGCCTGAGTTTGTCAAACTCATCCTGCAACCAATCAAGGCACCCAAAAGTTATTTTTTAAATCCATTCTCGTTAGCAAAAAGACCCCCTTACCAATTTTTTCCTCGCAAAGGGTTATAGCAAGCCCACTGCCAGGGCCTCGGAAAGCAATCCTGCTGCTTCCCTAAATGGGGCCCACACGCCCAGCCCCACTCAACCTGCCCAAAGTGTTCGGTGTTGTCATCAATACTCATGACCCATTTGCAACTCACCACAGAAAAAGTACTTACATCGGGTGAATTTTAGAAATAAAATTGACTTCATCTAGCCTTCAGCCCAGAGTAACCCAGACTTACTCTCTCAACTGTGGTACTTAGCCACTCTTCCAAAACGTAGACAGCATCCACAATGATCCCCAGGTCTCCAAGCTGACCCCAGTGAGCCCCGGTCTAACACAGCTCCTGTCTTCAAGAATCCAGCCCTGCCCTTAGGGTGCCTGGATGGTTCAGTCGGTTACCCGTCCCACTCGGTTTCGGCTCAGGTCATGATCTCACGGTTTTGGGGATTCAAGCCCCTTGTTGGGCTCTGTGCTTACACAGTGGAGCCTGCTTGGGATTCTCTCTCTCTGTCCCTCCCCCAGCCGCTGCCTCTGTCTCTCTCAAAATAAATAAACTTCAAAAAAAAAAAAAAAAAAGAAAAGAATCCAGGCTTGCCTGTCCCCATGACAGCTGTGAGCGACGCCCGCCTCACCTATCTGCACCTGTACACACTCAGGGCACACACAGTGCAGGGAAGAATTTTAATCAGACACAAAGACAGACCCAGAATTGGAGCTGAGACCTCTCATAGGCCACCCTCACTGGCAAATCACTTACAACACTGGTTAACACATTCTCATTCTTGCTTGATGTTCCTCTTTCTTGCTTTATCTCTTTTTCTCCCTCCTTTCTTCCTTTTCTTACTTCCTTTAGCCTTTTTTTTTTTCCCCTGCAAATACCAGGGGCCTCCACGCACGGCGCTTTGGGAAGATAAAGGACCAGGGAAAGGGCATACCCATCCTACTCTTAAAATATAGAGAATTGGATGGAATAATTCTAATTCATTATAGAAACCAAGCATCATGCTGAATATCTGCAATAGTCACCCACTTCACAGAGATGCAAGCTGGACACTGGGCCCCGGGCAGGGCCAGGGGATTCACTGGGAACAGACAGACCTGGCCTCAGCCCTTGCAGAGATGTCTGCCTCCAAATCAGCATTTCTTTATAGTCTCCTGGAGTCCCATATTCAGCTAACTGAAAGCTTTCACTCACCTCTCTCATAGGAAAATACTTACATCATCTCATTCCTATTTAGAATTTCTGGGGTGCCTGAGTGGCTCAGTCAGTTAAGCGTCTGACTTCGGCTCAGGTCATGGTCTCACGGTTTGTGGGTTCGAGCCCCGCGTCGGGCTCTGTGCTGACAGTTCAGAGACTGGAGCCTGCCT